TCTTCGCTCTTTGTCAGGTCTTTGCATCGTTGCTCGTATTTGGTGATTAATTGCTGGTGACACCTCTTGATGCTGGCAATGCGATTCGTCTCCTCGTTGAATTTGTCTTGGACATAACTGCGGATTTTGTGAGTGATGAAGTCCTCGAGGAACTCTGCTGAGAGGTCTTTCAGTGTCTGACAACAATTGGTCTTCAGATGGTGATCCTTTAGATGCTTTCCAATCGCCAGTACTCCAAGGACGGGTGCAGAAAGAACTCCTGCGGCGAGGCCTACGGACATCAAAACTGGCCAAAAAATCACGCCAGTCATCACTAGAAATTTTTTCATTCTGGGATCTAATGGCGAGAACATCCGTCCCGGGCGAATCTCAAAATGTTGGAAGTCGTCCACGTCACTTCCGACAAGTACACGGTCAATGTCTCGAATTTCTCTCTCAAATTCTAGGAAACCTTTGTCAAACAGTGCTTCCAATTCTAAATGTGCTTGGGAGAAAAAATTATCTGTGCTTTCCCACTTTTGGAGGGTATATTCGAATCGTTGTTCAATGCATGCGGTAAATGCTTCCTTCATCTTTGAAAAGTTTTGACCCTCTTCCGTTTTAGGCACATCGTCTTCTGTCCATCTGAAAAATTTTGTTCTAAATTCTTCAGTTTGTAAGTAGGACGCAAGTTTTATTTGTGCTTGGTCCACACTGGAAGTTATGGCGTCCTCAATTTCCCGAATGGGGGTGCCTTGTTTAAGTTCGTTGAGTTTATAGTCAAGTTCTTTCCGAGCCTTGAGACGTTCGTCTTTGGTCCTTTTGGCATTTTGCATTTCACCTTTGAGCTGATCGGACAAGCTGCAGAGCTGGCCGCTGATCCAGCTGTCAAATAGAGCAGAAATTTAACACTTGTTAAAAAGCGTTCTTTTTTATCTCAGAGTAAAATGCGACTCAGTTAATTTTTTTTCCTCAGCAGTCTTTTGGATTGATTCTTAGCTTAACAAAACCAGTAGGTTAACATTTCAGCAAGCTTAGTATTTTGGTCATTTTCGAAATTGTGCAAATATTCATTTTAAACACGACTTAGAAACATCGTAATGTGTTGATTTGAATGTTTCTTTGGGGCGACATATTTCTGTAGCTCCTTTCGACAATAAAAAGGATATACAACTCATAGGAAATCTGCTACGCCCTCTTTAATGGACAAGTGTCATATCTCGTTGGATTAGAATACTCTTTATTCGCAGGTTTCTCAAATAGAGTTATTCACGAGGGCTGAGGGAACTTGAAAAAAATTTTCTTCAGTAACGTGTGCTCAAGGTATAGGATAGTTTGAGTAATCAATTGGGAGATAAAATCAAACTTACTAGTAAAAAAATTCTGTTTTTCTCTCAATGCAGAGTGGCAGAAGACGCTGTAGTCGATTCACAAGACTTTTAAGATCATCATCCATCACTTCAAATCTCTCTTTTACTTCTGTAGCTCTAGAGACTGACATCTTTATGATTTGGAATTTTTCATCCAGTTCGGGAATATTCTTTCTGAGAGTGTCGATAATTTGCCTTTCAAGATCTTCCTTCTGATTTTGGTTGGACCGCTTTTCCACCTCGTCCCACTTGTTACAGACAAAAATAGCAGATTCCGAAGTGATACCACGGCCATCTTTTCCCTTGTAGAGTTTTTTCCATTCACTCAAGATAGGCATCAGCTGAAAGATTTATCACAAACGCTAAAATTCAAAGAATGGATAATCATATTTGCTCTTAGGGCATTTTTTAGAATTAATTAAAATTGGGTGGTGCGTCTTGATAAGTGACACATACCTCATGCTAAACTAAATACATTCTCGTGAGAAGACGAAAAAACATCTTTCCCTAAATACATTCTTACTTTTCAAAAGTGTATTAGACAGATAAGGAGTCATGAGTTTACCCTGTCTTGTTGTAATCCTCCGGCGTTTATAGTGTTTATTACGTAGATAAAGGCGTAAGCTTGACTCAAGTATTTCAAGGTGATTTCACTGACACGCTTTGAATCACCAATTCCTGGGCTGTCTACGATCACTACACCGCCCTAGGAGAGAGAGCAGCCGAGAACCTCAGTGGATATAGTTAATTGAATAAGAGATAATCGTCGTGTATTGGGTAAATATTAAAAGTTTGCTAATGTTGGTGATATCACTGTCACACTACCAAAGTACTGTAATCAAGTAACATGATTGTACCAGCTTGTTGGATACTTAATCGATGAACAAAGACAGAATATAGAAAGCAATTAAAGAGTGAGTGTCTCTACTAAATGAATGCACAACAATAATCACGTTTTTCTGCTTTTTGGTTGTTCATAAACTCCTACTGCGATTCTTTTATTCACCGGGAGCTTCGGTGTCATTATCGGGGCGAGCCACAGCACAATACAGAAAAGAATGGCACAGCATAACACAGCACATTGACAGCATAGTGCGTCAGAGGATACAAGACACTAAAAATGATCTCAATCTTAGATATGTTTTGATACATGTCCGATAACTTCACTTGTGATGTTATCCCTATGCAACAGCGAGCAAGGAAGGGGAGAAAAAAATATTTCTGTGATAGACTATAGCTCTTGTGCCAGCAAAGCCTTATACAGTGAGAAACTTTGATTTTTTTTCAGATTTTATTAGGGATTCTTGCTCTTCCATGCCAAATTGTTTCATGTACGTAAAATACCTCTGTTACTTTTATTCCAAATACACAAAGTTTTTTCACCTTCAATAACGGATTTGGAATCCTGATCTCTATACACTCACACCAGTTTTCGTCCTCTATCGGTTTTTTAACGTAATCTTTATACTTGTAAAATTTGTCCCCAGTGAGGACACGAGGTGACTTGCGTCCGTTAGCGAAGTGCAGCACAGCTTTTTTGGCCTCTTCATACGATATTTCACATATGGTCAGTGTGTTCTGCTGAATACTGGTTGGCATAATGCATTCGCCAAGTAGGAGGTTAATAAGACTGCTCTTGCCAGCGCTGGTTTCTCCTGTTTTGGTGTAATGGGAAAGGTTTTAAACAATGAAA